TTTTTTTTTTTCGAGAGGAATAAAAAATTCTTGACTTTTTAAGAGGAGTTTTTATTTTTTTGTTTTTGTTTTTTTATTCACCGTTTTTTTCTCTATTTTTCACTGACTATTATCATTTGTTTTCCAAACTGATAATTGTTTGTTGCTAACTATCCAGATGATAACATACAGAAATGAAAAAAGTAAAAAATAAAAAATAAAGTAAAAAAGAGAAGTAAAGAAAGAAAAACAACGACGACAAACTTTATCGAAATTGTTTTTTAGGTGTTTCTGGTATTTTGGCGTTTTTTTCTCCTTTTTTTTTATTCTTTATTTTTTTTTTCAATTTTTATAAAATCACATTTGTAAATATACTATCAATCAATTTTGAGATTTATTCATTAAAAAGCTTGCCAAATTTTGGTTGTTATTGAAATTAATGTTAAGTTGAACTACAGAATACGTCGTTTCATCAGTTTGTTAATTAGACGCTGTAACGGGTAAGCAGATTTGTTAAGTTGATTTTTAGTGCATGAAACTAGGCCCATTTAGCTTTGCATGAAACTTCTCGGAAACAAGGGAAGCTGCTTAGGGAAATCTGCGAAAATTATGTGGATGACAGGCAAAAAAAATTGTTTCTGTGAGGCAAAACAATCCATTGTTTATTCTGTCCCCTCACCTCTCCCGTTTCTCCTCTCTCCGCTTCCCCCCATTTATTCTTCTCCCCCTTCCACACCCCCCGTCCCCTTCTCCCACAACAGGTCGACGCTTCTATGCACCCACTTCAAGCTTTTTTCTAAACAAACTTTATAACTTATGGTACCAATGGGTGACATTTTTGACGATGATTGTCTGCTTAGTCTGTTGGCATGTACCGCTCGTTATTTGTTAAGTTTTTCTGGAGCTGTTTTGATGGCATAAAAAAATTACTGCAAAATGTTGTTACTGAAAGATCGTAGAAAACAATTTTTTGGTATGGAGATCCTGTATTTTTTGGTTCTGTGTACGAAGAGCTGTTAAGGTATCAGTGATATATTTGACGTAACAGTTTCACGATGGAGGGTTCATTAATTGCTTTTGTTATCTTTCTCTTTTTCCTTTTTTCTCCTGATAGGAATTTTAAATTACATCCTTTTTCAGAGGTCTCGTTTCTTTTTTTATGCTCTCAAAGAGTGTGCTGAAACGATATTTGAAGAATACCAGTGTTGTATTGAAAAAATTAAATTCAGTCTTAAAAATGGCGTTGAGTTCTTCAGTGTCTCCTTCAAATGTTACTGACAAGGAATCTATCTATGAAAAGGTTAAATAGTTGGTAGCATTAAAGAATAAGCCTTTCTTCCCTCATTTAATTTTATAATACTTCGACTGATCATCAGATTTCTTTATATCTCTTTTTACTGTATTAGGAGTGATGTAATTATTTTATCATTGATGCTTTCAGGCTGAAGCATATTGGTCTCAAGTATCATGTGATGTGGACGGAATGCTTGGTGGTTTTGCGAAACTTCATCTGCCAGATATAGTGGACTCTAAGAAGTTTTTGCGGATACTGCGAAACAAAGTAGGTTTTTGCAGTAGTTACCTGTTTTTTGATTATTGCCTTATGTGTTTCCCAGTAGATGATTCTAGCGTTTTTTACTGTAGCTCACTTAGGTTGAAGGTATAGAATTTAAGTAAACTGTAGGGACCTTATGAAAGTAGTAACTTTAACGGAATTGTACTTGAAATATGTGGTTGTTTTAGAAGAAACTTCTGAATTTTGAACGAGCTATCGATTGTGGTTGTGGGATTGGTCGTGTGACTAAATATCTTCTTCTACCTCAATTCGAAAGCGTTGACATGGTGGACATAATAGATTCCTTCATAGAAAGTATCTATTTTGGTTTTACTTTGGCGTCTCAAGCTTGTTTTCTTAAAGTCAGCGTCACGTTGAATGCAATGCTCAAAACATAGACAAGATTGATGGAAAAAATTTTGTTTCACAATTGTGATTTGAAAGCAGATGATTGATGATCTGAGTGGTGAAGGCTTTTTAAGAAAAAAAAAAAGGCGTTCCCTCCAAAAGAAAAATTGTAATTGTGACAGTGTGTTTGGTAGTTAATCGTTTCCTAAATTGTCTGCAAAGGGCTTTAAATTCGGTTAAATATGTATTACTGGTTCAATCTCTAAAACTTCAATCTTTCCCTCACCTCTCAAGTATATGGTGAGATATGAAATAACGTAACGGATGGATTTTTATTTTGATTGTCCCGTCATAGTTCGTTTTTCTACCGGTAATGTACAGATGGAAGGTCAAAGAAATTGGGAAAAGAAACAGTGGAGATTCTTGGCATCCTCTGGTTTGAGACGTTTATCGTTATGTAACTCACTGCCTTAGAAGCATAATTATTCCTTTAAGTTTGGGTGAGGGATGTAAAAGATATAAGTATAGTTGCTTTAGCGAATTTTGTAACTGATGTTTTGCCGTGATTTCTTGGCGTCATGACACGGTAAAATACTCAGAGGTAGTACTCACAGAGCCCTTTGCTGTTTTGCCTAAAACTTGACTGAACTTGCTATCAGTGTATCTGTTTCGATTTATACCAGTTTTGCAGGCTAATCAGTTACCCGGTAAAGGTAAAATTGCTGTTATTAGTTTACTAAAGATTGTTGTTTAATCTTTGTTTCATTAGATCTTTTTGGGATTTTTTACCAAATTTTACGTCAGCAGGAGAGCTTGTATTTAGTTTTTCAAAGTTTTATCAAAATGGTTTATATTATCCGAAGTTCACCAGGTTTACACGTGAGACAAACTTTATTAGCTGTACTATATCAATCAATTTTTGCTATTGGTGCTTTTGAGAATTCTCAAATTCATCTTGCTTTTACAGGATCATGGTCGAGTACATTCAAGCAACTTTCGTTACCTTTGAGTTTTTTGCAGGTTCATCGTCTTACATTGGAGAAGAAGATAAACGAGTAAGGCAGAAATTTGTTTGCGGTCTACAGGATTTCGAACCGGAAGAGAATTATTACGACATGATTTGGATACAGTGGGTTACTGGGCATTTGACTGATGAAGACTTAGTATCATTTTTGAAACGGTGCCAGGTAAAAATTTTGCTCCCATGTGTATTAGAATGTATCTATCTAATTGTGATGTCCGATGTTTTCTTACTTAGTCTATGCCTTTAGAATGGTCTGCGAGAAGGCGGATGCATTGTTCTAAAAGAAAATGTTACTTCATCTGACACATACCACTTTGATACTGAAGACAACAGCTGGACACGCCCGAGAAATCGTATACTCGAGTTGATCAAAGAAGCTGGTTTAACATTGCTTTGTGATAGGAAACAAACAAATTTCCCACAAGGAATGCTTTCTGTTTATATGTTTGCTCTCAGATAACCCGCTTCTTACGAAGGTGCATTGTTATTGTTTTAAATTACCAGTTTTTTACCTTTGCCTGATCATAAAATAACTTGTGTCTGCAAATTCTACTTTTTTTTGACGATGCGTTGACTTCGCTTTAAGTCTGCACTTTCTTTTTCACGTATATATTGTTTTGGGTACATGAGTAAATGCAAGTATTCGCATCAGAATCTGATGTTAACGGAGCACTACATATGGTACTGAAATGTTTATTCGCTGTCTTTTTTTTTTGTTCCGGATGGTAATGCAAGACTTATCATTCATTATAATTTTCTTCAAACAGCTGATGATCTGTCTCCTTTTTCTGCAGCATAGGAAATTAATTGTGGGTTGTGAATTCCTTAAAATTACCTTTTTGTAAGTGTGTTCGTGGTTTGGTTGGTCCATCTGTACTTGTTGTTAGCGGAGGTAATAGGGACTACTGAAGGGTAAAAAGGTTATGTATGCTACAGGGACTGTTTTGTTTTTGCTCATGTCAATGAATCATAGTTCCATTTGAATATGTTTGCGCCGAGTTTTAAGCTGTGAATAACCTAAGAAGGGTGGTATTGTTCGTGAAGCCACGGTGTGTGGAATTTATTATTTTTTTCTGATGCAGCTTGGTGTATTTGGCTAAGTATCGGTGACAGGATGAAATTTATCTTGACTTCTGCTTGGATGGAACTAGTCTAAGCCATATATGCAATAAATATAATACCGTTGGTGGCAGCTGTTAATTTGTGGATGGATGGTAGAAAAAAGCAGGGTTGAGCAAAGTTTTTCAAGTATGATATAGGGCTCTTGAAAGCGGGCTGAAGAAATCGTGTGAAAATAATTTGGGGGTATTGCACTTATTAATCATGTGCAGCCATTTGCATTTTTGAATTCTACCAGCTAATTATAGCAAAAGTGTCATGTAGACGAAAGGAACGTTTGAAATTTCATGGTGCCTGGTAAATTTTGGGAGAAAGAATGTTGTTCAGTTTAGTGAGGGGGATTAAGCAGCACACATCGGCTTAAGGCAGTGGTTTGTTTACGACTATTAAGTTATAGAAGTTCGCAATGAAAGAACTCGATGACTGCTGGAGGGTTTTTGTCGTGTAGTATTCTTCAGGAAATGTGTTTTGAATGAAGAAGGAGACATGGATCGATTTATTCTGCTTTTCGGATGCAATTTTTTTCATTTTTGCTCATCACAGTTGCTAAAGGTGTTGTAAAATGTGTAGTAATTAAGGTCTTCCTTTGTACTTCAATGAAAATTTCAAAAACCTTCACTGAATGAGTTTTATGGTTTCTAAAAATAATGATTATAAAACGGAGTTTCAGTTGTACTCCCTAGTCTACCAGATACAATAGATTTCAGCTATATTGTACTGTTGCTTCAGCAGCTTGGATGTCTGTCAGGGTTTTCAGCGATCTTTATATGCTTTCTGTATTGGCACTGAAATAGGCTTTGCTTTTTATCAACCAGACTGACTGATTTGCTGATTTTATTTTTGTCAGAAAAGTTTTTTTTGGCTCTATCAACGAGAACATATTTAGTCTATTTCGAAGAAACTTACTAAAATCTTCGTTTACAGTATCTGCGTGAAGGTATAGGATGAAGGAGAAGATTAGGAACACTGAAAGTGCTTGATGGCGGTAGGTTAGCATTTTTGGAACTTCCTTTCCAACAGTTGTGCACCCTTCGCGAATTTTGGTTTTACGTTATATAAATGAGCTAAAAAGAGAAGAATTTTATGTGATAGAGATAGCGCATAAACTCAAGACCTTTAGAAGGATGAGATTTTTTTTCATTACACGGTACTTTTTTTATAAGTAAGAAAGCTTTATAGTTGGGGAAAATTTGCTTCCGTTCAGGTGTATAGAGTATACTAGTAAGTGGTTGAG